ATTTGCAGAATGATAACTATTCCTTTTTTTGGAGGTAAATTAGGAAAGCATGGGCTGATGGTACGAACAAACTGGCGAATCTGAATATAGCGGAACAGGTTAGAGCGCTGTAAGTTAAATTTGGTGGAAAGAGCATCAAATGTAGCACAAGTTCCATCTATGTAGAGATCACTGAATTTACTTAATCCTGCCCTCTGCCACTGGACAAAGACAGGATCTAATTTGGCTGGGAGAAAGACATGATTATTGCAGATGGGACTATAAAGAGAGAAGTCCGTCAGATTGAAATTTTGTCTAAATTGTGACCACATTTTTAAGGTGGAGATTACAATAGGACATGAGGAGTATTGTTTAGGAGAGAGGGGGAGCTTCGAGGTAACTAATGCAGGGAGAGATGATGATATACACGCATTAATTTCTGGTTGGCACCAATCAGCATCTGGTCTTTGAATCCAGTAAACTAGTTTTTGTAGGTTTGCTGCCCAATAATAATACATCAGATTGGGAAGAGCCATACCCTCCTCTGTTTTATGCCTCTGAAGGAATATCTTAAGAATTCTAGGATGTTTGTTACCCCACAAAAATGAAGACAACAGTTTATCAACAAGTCTGAAGAATGACTTTGGAAGGAAGACTGGAATACTCTGAAAGAGATATAAAAACCTCTGCAATATGTTCATTTTAATACATGCTATTTTGCCTGCTAGGGATAGGTTCAGAACACTCCACTTCTGTTGCATTTAAGATTATTTATCAGGGGAGTAAAATCTTTGTCATACAGACCAGACAACGAACGGGTAACCTTAATTCCCAAATTAATCCTGATCTAGAGAGAGGGAAGGGAATATCTGTTTCTGCAATTTGGAGGGCTAAGTTATTGGTTGGAAAACATTCGCTCTTTATATCCAGAAAACCTGCCAAATCGGTGTAACATATTCACAATGTCAGAGGCAGATGACACTGGGTCTGAGATGTAAAGCAATAAGTCTTCCACATATAAAGACACTCTATGTTCTAACTGTTTTCTGTAGATTTCCTTAAAGCGTTGTGAGGTTTTCAGCATAATGAAGAGAGGTTCGATAGCTAAAGCAAAGAGAAGTGGACTAAGAGGACAACCTTGCCGGGTACCCCTGGACAGTGAGAAGGACTTAGAACACAATTTATTAGTAATTACGCATGCTTTAGGTGATGCATATATTTTTCCGCATCCAGGGAGACCACCACCTCGGGAATCTCCAGGGATGCGGGAGAGTGAACGACACTGAGGAGCTTGCGTATATTAGAAAAGAATGGCGCCCCCTAATAAAGCCTGTCTGATCTGACTATATTATGTCCAGCATAACAGTATCCAGCCTAATAGCAAGAGGCTTGGCTAGTATCTTAACATCTCCATGCAGAAGTGATATGGGCCTGTAGGAGCCACAATCAGCTGCATTTTTGCCAGGTTTTAACAATAGTGTAAAATTAGCTTCTGGGAGGGTCTGTGGCAAGGCTCCCTGATCCAGCGATTGATTAAACATTTCAAGATTATAAGGGTTCAACAACTACATTTACATCGGTGCGACGCTTAATATGCGTGTAAAACTCGCCAAACCGGAAGTCCAGCTAATATGACTGTTGACTTACTAAAAACAATAAAATCAACAGCAGGGAGACCTATTCCATCTGCCCCGGCCCTTCTGATGCTACCGTAGGCGCACACTAAACACTCCTGGTACGGTCAGCAGCTTGGAACACCGAAGACTGCCGGAGGTTCACAGAGCCTTCTCTGAATCCACCACCCTCAATCAATGGCAGCAAGAATACTGAATGTTCCTCGGACTGTTCACTGTGTTTCTATGTTAGGGTTCTTGACTGATGTTGCAGAGAGTGTGGGAACAAATGTGCTATATGGAGGACAAATCAACTATCTATCTATCATTATACTGCACTAATACTGTACTACACTGTAAATTAAGTCCTCCCATGTAGACAGCATCAAATGTGGATTGAATTTCTGCTCAATTGAACATCATTCAGTACTATTTAGTTTTTTCTCTGCTGTCAAACATCAGTAATAATGTGAGTTCACCTCTGAGCTCTGACTGCAGATCTGTGGGGCTCAAGAAAAGCTCTTTATGCTTCAGAGACATCAGCAGCTGCACACTGAAGATACTGCATCCAACATAAACCAGCTTGCAACACAACCAACACAACCAAAAAGACAACCAGAAAAACAGTCAGCAGGCCAAACAGCAACACAACACAAACAAAACTGAAGTTCTTGTACTTGGCCCCAAACACCTCTGAAACTCATTATCTAAAGATATAGTTACTCTAGATGGTATTACATTGGCCTCTAGCTCCACTGTCAGGAATTTTGGAGTTATCTTTGATCAGGACATGTCCTTTAACTCCCACATAAAGCAAACGTCCAGGACTGCCTTTTTTCATGTACGTAATATTACAAAAATTAGACACGTCCTGTCATAGACAGATGTAGAAAAACTAATCCATGCGTTTGCTACTTTTAGGCTGGATTACTGCAACTTCTTATTATCAGGCTGCCCCAATAAGTCCATTAGGATGTTCCAATTAATTCAGAATGCTGCAGCACGAGTATAGACAGGAACTAGGAAAAGAGGTCATATCTCTCCTGTATTAGCTTCTCTGCACTGACTCCCTGTAAAATTTAGAATAGAATTTAAATCCTCCTCCTCACCTATAAAGCTCTTCATGGTCAGGCCCCTTCATATCTTAAAGAGCTCATAGTACCCTATTACCCCACTAGAACGCTGGGCTCTCTGAATGCAGGGTGGGTGTGGCGCAGAGGCAGAGCGGGTCATCCCCTAATCGGAAGGTTGTTGGTTCGATCCCCGGCTCCTAGTGACACATGTCGAAGTATCCTTGAGCAAGATACTGAACCCCAAATTGCTACCGATCGTTGTGTGAAAGGGTGAATGTGGCACATAGTGTAAAAGCGCTTTGAGTGGTCGGAAGACTAGAAAGGCGCTATACAAGTACAGGTCCATTTACCATTTACTTGTGGTTCCTATACCTACTAAAAGTAGAACAGGAGCCAAAGCCTTCAGTTACCAATTTTTTTCAATTCAATTCAATTTTATTTGTATAGCGCCAATTCATAACAGAAGTTATCTCAGGACACTTTTCAAATAGAGCAGGTCTAGACCGAACTCTTTAACATTAATTACAGAGACCCAACAGTACCACCATGAGCAAGCACTTGGCGACAAGGGCAAGGAAAAACTGCCTGTTAAAAGGCAGAAACCTAGGACAGATCCTTCGGCTCTAGGTGGGTGGTCGTCTGTCTCGACCAGTTGGGGTGAGAGAGAGAGAGAGAGAGAGAGAGAGAGAGAGCGCGACAGACAGACAGGTGCACAGCAACAACAGTATTGGCAATGGCAGTCAAGCAGGACCATGGCAGGAGGCTCCACCAGGATCCATGAGAACCTGCGAGACGAGAAAGCACAAGAACTCCGGGGAAGAAGTGGAGTTAGTAACATGCATTAAAGGGACATGAATGAGTGCAGAAAGAGAGAGGAAGAGAGTAGCTCAGTGCACCATGGGAAATCCCCCGATAGTCTAGGCCTATAGCAGCATAACTAAGGGATGGTTCAGGACTCACCTGATCCAGCCCTAACTATAAGCTTTATCAAAGAGGAATGTCTTAAGCCTACTCTTGAATGTGGTGAGGGTGTCTGCCTCCCGAACCACAACTGGAAGCTGGTTCCACAGGAGAGGAGCTTGGTAACTGAAGGCTCTGGTTCCTGTTCTACTTTTAGAGACTATAGGAACCACAAGTAGCCCAGCATTCAGAGAACGTAGTGTTCTAGTGGGGTAATAGGGTACTATGAGCTCTTTAAGATATGAAGGGGCCTGACCATGAAGAGCTTTATAGGTGAGGAGGAGGATTTTAAATTCAATTCTACATTTTATAGAATTGAATTGACCAAGCTCCTCTCTTGTGGAACCAACTTCCAGTTTTGGTTCTGGAGGCAGGCACCCTCTCCACATTTAAGAGTAGGCTTAAGACATTCCTCTTTGATAAAGCTTATAGTTAGGGTTGGCTCAGGCAAGTCCTGAACCATCCCTTAGTTATGCTGCTCTAGGCCTAGACTATCGGGGGATTTCCCTTGATGCACTGAGCTCCTCTCTTCCTGTCTCTCTCTCTTTGTGCACACATTAATGCATGTTACTAACTTCACTTCTTCCCCGGAGTTCTTGTGCTTTCTCGTCTCGCAGGTTCTCATGGATCCTGGTGGAGCCTCCTGCCATGGTCCTGCTTGACTCCCACTGCTAATATTACTGACATTATTGTTATTGTTATTATTATTATTACTACAGTTACTATTACTACTATTGTCATTGCTCAGTGCCCATTGATGTGGCTGTTGTCGTCGTCATCTTCTTCTTCTTCATGTTAATCATAATCATCACCATCGGTCACTACTAAATAGTTGTTGCTGTGCACCTCTCTCTCTCTCTCTCTCTCTCTCTCTCTCTCTCTGTCTCTCTCTCTCTCTGTCTCTCACCCCAACTGTTCGAGACAGACGACCACCCACCTAGAGCCGAAGGATCTGTCCTAGGTTTCTGCCTTTTAACAGGCAGTCTATCCTTGCCCTTGTCGCCAAGTGCTTGCTCATGGTGGTACTGTTGGGTCTCTGTAAATAATGTTATAAGGAGTTCGGTCTACACCTGCTCTATTTGGAAAGTGTCCTGAGATAACTTCTGTTATGAATTGGCGCTATACAAATAAAGTTGAATTGAATTGAATTGAATCAAACCCAACACTCCTCATGAGGAGTGGACTGAATCTTCAGTGTGTAAATGTGTTGTTCAGTTCAATAACTTGAATTCTTCATGATTTTAACCTCAAAGACAAAGACATGACATCACCGTCTGAACAGTTTCTGTATTTCTGTAGTTGAATTTATAGTCTGAACATCATCTCTCTGTTAAACTCCTGCTTACCTTCTTCTTCTCCTTCATTGGTGTGTCAGCTGCATCACCCTTCTTGGGGTTTTCGTTTTGGGACGGTGAGGGAGAGCAGCGCCGAGGATTACATGAAGAAGAGTTTTCCGGAGATGCACGAATACATGAGGCGCTTCAACGAGCCGACCACACCTGAAGGAGTCGCCACCCTCAAGTAAGAGAACCGATGCGTTTTTGTCTTAACAAATCTATAGTTTGTTTGTTCATCGTGAGTAGGGACGATATAGCGTCTTAAACCAATAATAAACACTTTGATAGGTACATCATGGTGAATTTGGATTATCAGAATAATCGTGAATATCCTCACGTGATTAACATACAGTCCTAACGGGTCAATGAAAGCATATCGACCAACCAATCAACCACATGCACCCCAAGAAACTTAAAAGAGGAGACTCTCTCCAAGCAGTCGCCCTCTATCTGTAGTGGGGCAGGGTCAGCTGTGTTCCTCCTCCAGTCCATCACCATCTCCTTGGTTTTGCTGGCATTCAGCAGGAGGTTATTCGCTGAGCACCAGGCTGCGAGCCTCTGGACCTCCTCCCTGTATGCTGTCTCATCACCACCAGAGATGAGGCCCACCACTGTTGTGTCATCCGCAAGGAGAGGGCCATAATCGTATGTGTATAGGGCATACAGGAAAGGGCTTAACACACAGCCCTGAGGGAACCTGTGCTCAGTGTTGGAGTGGTGGATGTAAGGGTCCCAAACCTCACTGTTTGTGGCCGGTCCGTCAGGAAGCTGTTTATCCAGTCACAGGTAAGGGGTGGGAATCCCAGGTCATTTAGCTTCTGGAAGAGGATGTTCGGCAGTATGGTGTTGAATGCTGAACTAAAATCAACAAACAGCATCCTGACATAGTTCCACAACCCCTTTGTGTGGCTCGCAGCAGTGTGGAGGACGGTGGCTATGGCATCTGCTGTTGACCTGTTTGCCTTATAGGCAAACTGGTGCTGGTCGAAGTTCTGGGGGAGGCAGGACTTGAGGTGGGGCAGGACGAGCCTCTCAAAGCACTTCATGACCACAGAGGTCAGTGCCACTGGTCTGTAGTCATTAAGGCTGCTTATGGAGGCCTTCTTAGGTACAGGAACGATGGTGGCTGTTTTCAGGCATGGTGGAACAGTGGCCTGTTTCAGGGAGATGTTAAAGATCCTTGTTAGGACCCCTGACAGCTGGTCAACGCAGGCCTTCAGTACTTTGCCCAGTACCCCGTCTGGGCCTGCTGCTTTGTGTGGGTTCACAGCTCTCAGAACCTTTTTCACCTGATGTTCCTGTAGTTCAAGCAGGTGGGTGTTTGAAAGCTGAGGAGCTGTGGGGCCACTCTCCGGGTTTGGAGTAGCGGAGTGGGGCCTCACTGACTCAAAGTGGGTTTAAAAGTGGTTTAGCTCTTTCACCAGCGAAGCTTCGGCATTTGCCGCTCCAAGTTGCCCATGTAGTTTGTTAGATGCTGTAAACCTTGCCACACTTGTCTGGGGTTATTGTCAGCCAGATGGTTCTCCACCTTCCTCTTATATTCCCTTTTTGCAGCCTTAAGTCCTCTCCTCAAGTTAACCCTGGCCACGCTGTACAGGTTTGGGTCTTTGGCTTTGAAGGTGGAGTCTCTGGCTCGTAGCAGTGACCACACAGTATAGAACTGTTTTTAACATGGGGACATTAACAGGAGAACATTCAAATGGCAGAGCAACAGCACAGAATGGATGTATCGGCTTGCTTAAGTTTGACTTTAAGCTAGGCTACGATTATGCTATGGGGTGTAAAGATTTACAGATTCAGAAATCTGTTTTTTTTTTATGGCTTTTGTTGCCTTTAAAGGATAGTGACAGCTGAAGATTGACAGGAAAGGGGGGAAGAGAGAAAGGATGGTTGGAGTTGAACCCTAACCTGACTCAGCCTGGGTACATGTGCCGCCAGCTCCACCAGGTGAGCCATCCTGATGACAGACGGGGCTTGAGTAGTTAGTTGTTGTCCTTAGCTAGTTCGCTTGTGCAGCTAGCGTTAGCTGACTGTAGGTGTCAATTCCTTCATTTTGTGTGATTTAACTGGACTTTTATTGTGATGGGTCTCTTTCTGTCACCTCATCCGTTCACTTCCTGTGACCCTAACCTGATACTACTTGATTACATGTGAAGACACCTCCTGGCAAGCCGTTATTCTCTCTCTTGCTGCTCTTACCCTCTCCGCTCGCTCCTCTAAGCTCTTGGTGCATAACAAAGGATTATAGAGCGGCAAAGACCAGCAGACCAATGAGCAAAACACCTTTCCTCCTGCAACCTGTACTAGCGGACACCGCACAGCAAAGACATTTGGACACCGTCCTGTCAGCCTGGCTCACAGGACCACCAGCTGATCCACGCAGCTCACCAGCAACTCTTCTTCTTCCTCCCTCCATTGGACTGTCCGTAACGTACTGGGCATAGACAGATAACAGAGTTAGCAGCTAAACAAGAACTGTTTAATTACTGTTAATGTTACTGTAGCACGTCGAGCTACAGACGGGGTTCCCTCAGCACACAAACAACCACACTCCGTCGTTGAATACACCACTTTTATTCAGCGTACTGCTCACACGGCACACAAAGTCTAGCTCAGTCGCCTCTGGCTCTCAGTGGCACTCCCGGTAGCGTCTCTCTGGCCCAGCACACTACTGCAAAGATAAGGGTAAAGTCATCAGGTAATCAAGGGCAGGTGAGGTAATCAACTCACCTGGTGCCGCTCTCCCAAGCCTTCCCCACACCTCTCCCTCCTGCAGCTGAGCGGAAACCACACCCACCTCCACATACCCCCACCGCCCGACTTAGGCCGGGGAGCCATCCGGCCCAACCTACTCCCCCCCCCCCTCCCCAAAGGAGCGGGAGAGAAAGTCGGCCACGGCCATCTGCACCCCCGGCCTATGGACCACACTGAACTTAAACAGCTGTAAGGCCAGATACCACCGAGTGGACGCACCTGCCCACTGCCCAAGTGGTACCCCAAATACCGTACCTCCCTCCGTCCATGATAACATCATCCAAGTAGGCGGCAGCATACGCAGAGTGCGGACGCAGGACCCGGTCCATGAGACGCTGGAAACTGGCCAGGGCACCAAACAACCCAAAGGGAAGTGTGACAAATTGTTACAAACCGTACGGAGTGGAGAAGGCCGTTTTTTCCTTAGACTCTGGAGACAAGGGAATCTGCCAATAGCCCTTGGTTAAATCCAGTGTCGTGAAAAAGCGAGCAGTGCCTAACCGATCCAGGAGCTCGTCGACCCGAGGCATCGGATAAGCATCAAACCGTGACACATCATTCACCTTGCGATAGTCCACACAGAACCGAATAGACCCATCCTTCTTCAGTACCAGAACAATGGGGCTACACCAGGCACTGTTGGACTCTTCTATTACCCCCATCTCCAGCATGACCTTCAATTCCTTCTGAATCACTTTTCTTTTGTGTTCAGGTAACCGATAGGGCCGTGAACGCACTGTCAAGCCTGGGTGAGTCTCAACATGATGCTGTATGAGATTTGTGCGTCCTGGCAGGGGGGAGAACACATCAGCAAAACGCTGTTGCAACGCGGCAACGTCTGCTCTCTGGGACGGTGTGAGATGGTCATCACAAAGGAGTGAGGCTGGATTGGTGGAATTTGGTACCTCAGGCCCCAACTCATCTCTCTCTTTCACCGTGGTCACCAGAGAAACAGGCTCCGCCTCTCTCCATGCTTTGAGGAGATTGAGGTGGTAAATCTGTGTTGCTCCTCTCCTGTCAGAATGCACAACCTCATAATCGACCTCACCCACTCGCCGTGTGACCACAAAGGGCCCTTGCCACTTGGCGAGTAATTTAGAGCTGGAAGAAGGGAGTAATACAAGTACTTTATCTCCCGGTGCAAATTGTCTGAGCCGAGTTCTTCTGTTGTACAGGCGCTGTTGAAGCTCCTGGGCCCTGAGCAAATTCTCCCGTGACAACTGACCCAATGTATGGAGTTTTGCTCTCAGGTCCAGGACGTACTGAACCTCATTTTTACTTCGGCTCGGACCTTCCTCCCAGCTTTCTTTAACAAGGTCCAGAACCCCCCGTGGTGTCCTGCCAAACAGCAGTTCAAAAGGAGAAAATCCCGTTGAGACCTGGGGCACCTCGCGCACTGCTCCACTAATTGATTAAACCCGGGACAATCCGTGCCCAAAATCAGGGGGTGCGTCAGGCGGGAACTAACCGCGGCCTTAACAGTATGCTTTTTACCCTTATATCTAATTTCCACGGGAACAACCAGGTATCTGTGAATATCCCCATGTACACATCTAATGTCCACCCACGATGCCTCTACCAAAGCCCCGGGTCGAACCAGGTTCTGAAGAATTATAGACTGCGTGCAGCCTGAATCCACCATTGCCCGATGTATACCCCCTTGAATCCTTACCGGGACGCTGTATGTCCCTCCTGGACCGGGGGAGGGTGTTGGTGGGCCGGCAACCCGGATCACCTGACCGACCTCCATGAGAGGGCACTCCCTGCGGAAAGGTCCGGGCTGCCCGCACCGCCAACACTCCTGCCCTGACGCCTGAGGAACCCTTTGTGGGTCGAGAGCGGCACCCGTAGCGGCTGGACCCTGGGGAGGAGAGAGAGCAGAGGGTTGGTTAGTGCGCGGTGGAGGGAGAGGCCGGGCAACAGTTTCCAGACGGGAGGTAAGTGGGGGTCTTCTGCGAGGCGCGGGCACGGGTCGGGTGGGTGCAGAGGGCCGCCTCTCCGGAGCTCGGTCCCCACTGTGGACGGCCAGGTGATCCTCGGCGAGGGTGATGGCGGCCTCCAAATCCACCGGACGGTGGCACCGCACCCGCTCCGTGGTCCCGGTCGAGAGCCCCTCCACAAACTGTTCCAACACCACCTGCTCCAGCATCTGCCTCTCTCCGACGGATCCCCCCCGGCTGCAGCCACCTGGTGGCAGCGTCCTTCAGCTGCTGCGCATAGACAGGACGGACGGAGGGTCCCAAGGTGGCGGACCGGAACCGGCGGCGATGATCCTCAGGGGAAAAACCCATCCTGTCTAGGATGGCTCTTTTGATGTTTCGGAACTCCCCCCGAGAAGAAGCTGGCAGGCCGAGCCGGCCAGCCACACGCCTCCGCCGTGGCCTCGAACATTTCGAGGAAGGTTTGGGGGTCATCCGCTGCTGTCATCCG